ATATATATTGAAAAGCATGTTTGCTCCCAGATATGATTATGATATAAGCGTACAGTAATAATTTACAACGCATTAAAATAAGAGTGATAGATCAAACCGATAACTAATCAACCAAATTGCATATTCGATTTACGTTCATGAGAACTATAAGTATAATTTGCCTTCTATTCTTTTAATATCAAAGCACAAATTACCTCAGGAGAATCCTATTATCCCTCGTCCATCGTTTCGATTCGTTCGCGTCAGCGAACATGTTAAGCGATCGATATCACTTGCTGGAGATCGATCGCTCTTACGCGCGGAATAAATCGTGATGCGGAAGCGCGAGTCGAATAACGCGACGCCAATTTGTGCCGCACTTTTCTCCACGCTCATTTGACACACCTCCAAATTTTCACGGATACATGGGATCACGGAAGACGGATTTTCACTTGTAGCAGTAATCGACGAATTCGTTTTCCTTAATCACAATCATAGATCAATTGTGTCGTCTGATTTTCGGTGACCTGGCCGAAAATCTTTGCGATCTTTCATGATTAGTCGGGCGGAATACGCGATAAGTTCTCTTTATATAAGTTGATAAGATACAATAGGAACCATGTAATCCTTTCCCAGTTCTTTCCACAATCTCATGCATATATTTCACCACTTTGCTATGTTCTGTCAAATGAATGTAATCGTTCCATCGGCTTTATTGCTGAATATTCCATAATCGTTTCGCAGAAAATTACGTGCTTACTTCGGAAAAAATATTCTGCGATCTCTTAAATGAAAATATGCAAAGAATCTCGAAAAATATAAAATCAAATTAAATTATAGCGAAAAACGAAAAATAATATAAAATTTTTTCAATATGTAAATGAAATTAATTCATGCGTGGAGAAAAGGTAAAAGGATCTTGTATATTTCTATAAATATAATTTTTCAACCATTAACGTTTACAATATTTCTGTACATTCTGTATATTCTTTTTTTCCATTTATATTTTTCAATATTTTTCTATTTTATATTTTATTTAAATTCGTTGACAGATGGTTATGAGATACGGCGAAAGATGTAACAAAATTTCGCAATGTAATAGCAGTGTGCTATACGATGCTGCGGTGAACATAATTTATCACACCTTTGTATCTCCCCCCCCCCCTACGCAATAAATCTCACTAAGCGCCACAGTTAAAAAGTTTATAGAAACACTCTAAAAATATCAGTTGATATAAAATCGTATTAAATTCACACGCCGTGTGTAGGCGTTAATATTATCCATACGATGAGAAATAGACGCATGATATACTCACATTGATATTTTTTATATTCTGTTTGAGTGACAAAAAATGCCAAAATATTATCAATTCATGCATGACGCATTCGAATAAATATCTTTAAAAAAATTTATTCATATTCTTCAAGATTCTTCTTTAAATTTTCTTTTTCCTAAATCTCTTTTTGTAGTCCGTGGTAATTATTCAATATTTCAATTCTCTACGAAATTTAAATTCGTATCGCATGAATTATAAGGACAACGTGCAAGTAAGCGGAAATCATGGATTAACAAATCTCACTTAAGAAAAGAATAAATAAATTTGAATCAAATTCTTGGAAGATCCTCAAATCGCATATTGCGCGTTTCTGCGTCATCAATGCTGTTGACGCGGTGTTTAAGCGCAAGAAGCGCTTCCTCTCTTCAATTAACTCACTCGCCAGCATTGAACGATCTCGTTCACAGTGTCGTTCGCGTAAGGATTAGTGTTGTTACAGTCTGATTATATCACGTTTTAAACGCGAGATTTCTTAGCTCGCTACATCTCTCACCCTATATCAATTACGTGGATCGAACGTGTGTTGGTGCCGTTGCAGTACGGACGCTTTCAAGCTCCAGTAATGTAATTACATCGCACGTCGAGAGAATCGATAAATCAAAATATGTGATTCCCAAATCAAGGTAAAGAGCGATTTAATATAATCTGAATAGAATCCATTATACTTATATCAAGATGTTTGTTTTTAATAAACCAATGGAGTGATCAATTATCGACAAACATAATTGTCGAATTATAGAGGATATCTTCTGTATTTAAAAAATAATAAAATTAATAATTAGATCATAATTCCGTCGCACGGCGCTAATTCTCCATGGAGATCGCATAGCTAGAATCGCTGGAATATTAAACACGCTATGAACTAGCTATATCGAACTCGATTATAGTTTCGGATCCCGGTGATTTGAAATAATCTCTATAATCATAACGACGACGGTTTAGCGTGAGGTCCCTTTCTCTTATCTTGCAGATCACTAGTTATTAATACCGGTTTTCGATACGGAACACGGCGCGCGGCACACGAGCCTTGTGCGAACGGTACCTAAAACCTTCTTCACGCGCATGTAACTTTTTTGATCGTGCCGGAAGTCGCGTACCCCGCCGGGTGTACGTCCGGCATCAACGACGGTCGCACGAGCACTGAGCGGGTGGTTGTGGAGGGCGGTTGATCGCGGGCAACCCCTTCAACCCACCCCCGCGCTCGGTTCGAGCTGCGATCCCACCGCGTTTCACAGTGGTCTCAAATTGCATGTAAAAACAGCCGATACATGGTTTCTGCTTACATGACGTAACTTCCCTACATTGCACATTGTATCCTTTGCATACCCAATGCGGCAATGAATTAAACCGTCGTTAAAATATTCCCTCTAAAACTTTTAGAGTGAATTGTCACTTGGAAGAGTGAAATCTCACTCTAAGGCCCGGTTCCAGACATGCAAGATCAACTTTAGCTCTCGGTTCAATTTACTCTTTATCCTTTTCCAATTTTTAAATTGGAAAAACGATGAGGAGTAAGTTGATACTGAGATTGAAGTTAACCTTACTCTTTTCATCCTTTTCTAAAATTGGAAAAAGATAAGGAGTAAGTTGAATCGAGATTAAAGTTAATCTTACATTTGTGAAAGTGGGCGTTAAAGAGTAAAAACTGAACCAATCTTTTTCAAGACTGGCCTAATTTTTATTCTTTAGAGTGAGATTCTACTCCAAAGAATTTAGAGAATATAGCGTGATACGCACGCGTATTTATTATCGTTTATTTAATTACTACTTAGACCTTCTAGTATTTTATCTGTTGCGTTATTTGTCGTCATTATTTCTCTCTAAAGATCATCAATGACGTCGCCGTCGAAAAATATATATTGCTTTTCGCTTCAATACTGTTGAAGTATATTGTGAGTACTCTAGGAATAACAGATAGAAATGTGAATGGAACGAAACTTCTTGAATAAGCTTATTGGCCTTTATTTCATGATGAAGATCAGTTATAATTGATTTTTGAAGCAGAGATCGTTATACAGGGTCGCAACAAGGTCAAATGTTTGACAATTACAAAAGTGCGTCTTATCTCTCGGTGAGCTAAAAGCTTATTAGTTCTTTTCATAGTTCGCGAAACAATCTTTTTCGCCAAATCCTTTGATTGCTTACTGGGATAGTTTTATTTTTAAATAAGCATTAACGATTATGACATACATTTCGAATTGAACTATCGTGTTACATTAAGCATCTCGAGGCCAAACAAGCATACGTCCCGCGTTGAATTATTGATCGCAGCTTTATTGGCTGCAGCAACGAGAATTCTGTTCACGTTGGCGACGACGATTTTATCGGTGATCAACGGCCGTCTCAAGGTAATCCGCAGTTTTCATGCAATTGGTAAATAAAGAGAGTCGATCTAAATAACGCACGAATATATTCCTCTTTTCTCGATACTTACGCTGTAAGTATATCAATGTAAATATATTTGCAATGTGGCATATTTGTAAATAATAATGTGTACTCAGTCAAATATGTTTCACTACTCGTCCTTCATATGGCTTTTATTAAACGATTAATATTGTAATTTGAAACGATCAGTTGAAAAAGAAAGAGAGAGAGAGAGAGCTCACCATTTATTGAGCGCTCTGGGAAATTCCCTCAAGCACTTTGGCAAAAATAAATATACAGTTAAAATAAGATAAAAAAAAATAATAAGGCGCATAAAATCAGATTACAAAATCGAAATGCCAAAGCAAAAACATATAAAAATGTAAGATAAAAAAAATTAAGTTTGAAATGAGTAAAGTCGCTGTTGAATACATACAATTGAATGCGAGAAAAAATAATAATAACATGAGAGTATATCTTAAAAATTGTTGCGCAGCAAGTAATTGTAACAATTTACTTTAAATAAAGCAAATGGAGAGAAAGAGATTGATTAAAAATAATATAAATAATATATAAATGTTACATGGTTCCCTTCTTTTTTGTAAATAATTAAATTTTAATCCATAAATAAACTTTGCCAATAGTGTTGTTTAATTAATTAAATTAAAATTTTATTGTAATACTCAAATATTGTATTTCAAATTTAATTATACACTCAATCAAACCATCATATATATTATATCGACAGATACAAAACATGAATACGCAATCAGTAAGGCATCAACAATGCTCACATATAAATATGCGTCTAAATTTAGAATTCTCTATATCCTTACAGAAATTGAATATTGTAAGATATGAATTAATTATTTTGAATATAAACAGCACTAATTATTAGTTTTTTATATTCCTAATAACTTAATCACTATTTTCCAGTATCCAATTTCTGTAAAAGATACTAACAATTCTCAATATATACATTCAACAATATTATAAAATTAAAAATTCAGCCAGTGTGATTTAATTCAATATTGCGCCAAAACGATACTAAAATAATATCAACATTTCATTATTATAATTTTCGTAATTGTCAGTAATAAGTCTCTAAGGATATAACACAAATCCTATATATATGTATACACACATACGCGCGCGCATATATATATATATATATATATACATAT